GTACTCGTACATTTCCCTTTCAAGGTTCAAAGTTTCTTTCAATCACTAAATCTAGAATTCTTGCATTAGATAGGGATTTATCATAGATTCATGTAATTCTATTACTTCATGCTTTAGATCATTAAACTCATCTTTCATAATCAACAACCCTACTCTATGAGATCACAATTTGGAAAGCATGGGGGTTTGCATGGGTTCATAGGCGAAACATCATGAAAGCATTGTAAATCATCAATTCATGCTTATTTAAACATAATTCAATCATTAAGATCAATAATCAAAAGAACCCATGATGTTTGAGGAAATCCCTAGCTAATTGGGGAATCCTATCATTTGAAATAGAGAAAGCTACCATACCTCAAGTCCAATTGCGCATCTTCAATGGTGAATTTGGATCCTTAGCTTGAAACCCTAGGTGAAATCATCATCTTTTTCTTCAAGTTCTAGAAAGAGAATATTTGAGAGGAATTGGTTTTCTTTTGGAATTTAGGAAGAATGAATTAAATGGCGTAAATTTGGGGTTAAAAAGGATTATATAGTGGTTCTAAATATGGGTAAAATGACATACCGCATTACCCCTAAGTTAAACTGCCAGCAGCCTTTGACCTACCACCTACGGACCCAGCCGACGACGTGGATGGACCTATGGTCAATCCTGATGAGCAGTGATTAGTGGTCAGAGAATTTGGCCTTGACCTATGGTCACTGGACCATGGGGCGTGGACCAATCTTCGGTCCGTAGGTCCCTTCAGTGGTCCAAGCTTGGACTATTTTTGAGTGCACAACGATGGACCTAGTCGACGGGGAGTGGTCCGACCCACGGACCATCCTGGTGGGCTGTTAATAGGGTCAGAATCTTGCTATTCTGGGGCTTCAACCATATACCACGCCTACGGTCCATGGTCCCCTCCACGGGTTGTGGGTGGCCGGAGTGGTTGGCTGCACCAGCACCTGGAAAGCTACTAAATGTTTCTCTTTGGATACATGATGTTACAATATCTCCCTCTTGGGACCATTCATCCTTGAACGAGATTTAAACTACTCCTAAAAGAGTAGCAGAGGAACTGACAACCTAACCTACGATGCAATGCAATCAACCAATGAGGAATTATCGACTCCAAGCTAGGACGTTCTCAAAAAATCAAAAGAAGGGTGAACTAACTTTATCAACCCACTATGCATGCAATGCAAATAAATAAGGAGAAAACATCAACTCCAAACTCATCATACTCAAATGCATCAAAAAGGAAGTAGGAACTACATCTAGCAACCCAATATACATGAAATTCAAAATTTCTCATGTCTAAGGAGGAACTTTCTTCTCCAAACTAAAAGCATGCTCAACACAATCTCATGGAGCCTTTATGCAACTCATTCTCAAAGAGTATAACAAATGCATGCTCAACAATCATCTCATGAAGTTTATAGGCAACTCATACTCAATGCACAACAACATGAGGAAAACAAATCATACAAGTAATTTCTTTCAAAATTTAAGCTTTTACATGAACATGCATAATAATAAGGAAATCATGGAAACACATAAATCACAAATGACTTCCAACACATAAAACAACCCAAGAGGAGCTCATTACCTCAAGCTAGAGTAGGACTAGAAGGAAATAGATGAAGATATCGAATCGCATATCAGCTTCCCAAGTAGCACCCTCGACTAAGTAATTCCTCCATAGCAGCTCAAGGAGCCAACTTCCTTGTTTCTCAACTTTTTGACTTGCCTGTCTAAGATCTCAACCAGTACCTCCTCATAAGCAAGATTATCTTTAACCTCCAAACCCTCTATGGAAACTATTGATGTTGGATCCCCAACACATTTATTCCACATAGACGTGGAAAACCGGATGCACCAATGACGACTCATTTGAAAAATCTAACTCATAAGCAACCTTGCCAACACGCCTCAAAATGACATATGGGCCTACAAACGGGGACTAAGCTTCCCTTTCTTCCCAAACCTCATAACACACTCTATGAGTGAAAATTTTAAATAAAACAAATCATGAACCTCAAAGCCAAGATCTCTCCTCCTAATATCGGCATAAGACTTTTGCCGACTTTGGGCCGTTCTCAACCTCTCTCTAATAAGTCGAACTTTCTCAACGGCTTCATAAACTAGCCCGGGACCTATCAAAGCAACTTTACCAACCTCAAACCAACAAATAGGAGATCTACACCTCCTACCATAAAGAGCCTCAAAGGGATCCATACCAATACTTGAGTGATAGCTATTATTGTAGCCAAATTCCATCAGTGGAAAATGGTCATCCCAATTACCCTTAAAATCAATCACACAAGCCCTCAACATGTCCTCAAAGTCTGAATAGTACGCTCCACTTTCCCATTGATTTGGGGATAAAAGGTCATTCTAAGCTTAACCTTGGTACCAAGACCCTTTTGGAATGACTTCCAAAATTGAGAAGTGAATTGGGTACCACGATCCAAAATGATAGACAAAGGCACACCATGCAATTTTACCATCTCTCTCAAGTACATATTAGCATAGTCTTTCGCCGAATAAGAAACTTTAACGAGAATAAAATGAGCCGATTTCGTCATCCAATCTACTATCACCCATAAAGAGTCATGTTGTCGCCAGGTGCGGGGTAAACCCACTATAAAGTCCATATTTAAGTCTTCCCACTTCCAAGTAGGAATAAAAATATGTTGGGACAAACCTCCCGACCTTTGGTGCTCAACTTTCACTTGTTGACAATTAGGACACTTGGCCACATATTCCGCAATATCTTTCTTCATCCTATTCCACCAATAGACTTCCCGTAGATCACGATACATCTTGGTGGCTCCCGGGTGAATAGAATATTGAGAGCTATGGGCTTTCTCTAAAATTTGTACCCTCAAGTCATCAACATTCAGAACACATAACCGACCTTGATATCTAAGTACCACATCTCCCCCTTGGGAGAAAGCCTCAACATAATTTTTGAGTACCGTCTCTTTCAATTTAACCAAAATAGGTTCAAGATCTTGCTTAGACTTCACATCCATTACAAAGGACGATTCAGAACCATTATGGACCATGACACCACCCATGGTGGAATCCACTAGTTGAACACCTAGTGGGGCCAACCTATGATCACGAACCAACTCTTTCTTTACTTCATCTACATGAGCCACACTACCCATTGACAATCTTCTACCATATTAGCTTGCTGGGGTAATAAAGGGCACTCATGTCATAATCCTTCAAGAGTTTTAGCCACCTTAAGTGGCGAAGATTCAAGTCCTTTTGATTTAACACATATTGCAGACTCTTATGATCGGTGAAAACATCCACATGGACCCCATACAAGTAATGCCTCCATATTTTTAAGGCAAACACAACCACCGCTAACTCATGGTCATGGGTAGCATAATTCTATTCATGGATCTTAAGTTTCCTTGAAACATATGCAATCACCTTCACATTTTTCATAAGCACGCATCCCAACCCAATTCTAGAGGCATCATAATGCACCACAAAGCCATCCATACCTTCCGGTAAGGTCAACACTGGAGCGGAAGTAAGTCTATCTTTCAACTCTTGGAAACTGTTCTCACAAGCTTCCGACCACACAAACTTAGCCTTCTTTTGAGTCAAAGCCGTCAAAAGAGAAGAATGGAAGAAAATCCCTCAACAAACCTTCTATAGTAATCGGCCAGACCCAAAAAGCTTCTAATATCGTAAGGAGTTATAGGTCTAGGCCAACTCTTGACCGCATCCGTCTTCTTAGGATCTACCTCAATCCCCTTGCTTGACACAATATGACCAATGAAAGCTATGGACCTTAACAAAAATTCACACTTGCTAAACTTTGCAAAAAATTGTTGGTCCTTATGAACATGCAACATAATTCTCAAACGGTCCACATGTTCATTGTCACTCCTTGAATAGATCAAAATATCATCAATAAACACAATTACGAACATATCAAGGTATTATCTAAACACCCTATTCATCAAATCCATAAATGTCGCTGGAGCATTGGTCAGCCCAAACGACATAACCAAAAACTCATTTGACCATACAGGGTTCAAAAAGTCATCTTTGGAATATCATCCCCTCTAACCCTCAACTGGTGATAAGCCAAACGAAGATCAATTTTTGAGAAATAACTATCCCCTTGAAGTTGGTCAAAGAAGTAATCAATTCTTGGAAAAAGATATTAGTTCTTAATGGTCACTTTATTCAATTGACGATAATCAATGCACATTCTAAGAGACCCATCCTTCTTTCTAAGAAACAACACGAGAGCACCCCGTGGAGAGATACTCAGTCAGATGAAACCCTTATCGAACAAATCCTTTAGTTGCTCCTTACACTCTTTTAACTCGGTCGGAGCCAATGTATAATGAGGAATAGAGATAGGTTGCGTATCCGGGAAAAGGTCAATATCAAAATCTAACTCCTTCTCTGGAGGAATACCAGGCAAATCATCAAAGAAAACTTCTGGGAATTCATTAACCACGGGAACCGACTCAAGAGAAGGGGTTTCAAAATCTACATCCCTCACCCTAACAACATGGTAAAGCAACCCTTTGAGATCATCTTTCTAGCTTTAAGGTAAGACACAAAATGACCTCTAGGCATAGAATTTCCCCCATTCCACTCTAGGATAGGCTCATTCAGGAATTGGAATCTAACCACCTGAGTTCTACAATCAATAGAGGCATGCATGCAACCAATTCATACCAAAAATCACATAAAAGTCTAACATGTCAAGTTCTACCAAGTAACCAAGAGTAACTCTATGTGATAAGGAAATGGTACATCTTCTATAAACCCTCTTAAGCACCACAGAATCACCAAAAGGAATAGAGACATAAAAAGGTTCTAATAACACTTCTGGAGGAACATCAAACCTCATCGCCACATAGGGTGTCACAAAAGATAAAGTAGCATAAGGATCAAGCAAGGCATACACATCATGTTGAAATTTTTTTAACATACGAGTCACTATATCCAGGGAACTCTCTTGGTCACCTCAGGATTGGAGAGCATAGAAGTAGTTTTGCTTTGGAGCATTGGAATTTGAACTGCTAGGAGAAGCTTGTTTGCCTTCTCTTCCTTTTACCGCAAGCATGGGGAAATCTATCAATTTGTGACCACTTTTCCCATAACTAAAGCATACGTCGGTGCTGGCTAGGCACTTACCATCATGTTTCTTCCCACATTTAGCATATGTAGACCTAGCCAAAGAAGAGCCACCTCCATTACCTCCTTGAGGTTTAGGGTTAGACACCCTATCCTTGTCAAACTTCGGTGGAACGTTAGAAGAACCTTGATCGGAAGACCCTTGATGAAACTTAGAACGACCATGCCCATCGGATCTAGCATGTGAGAAATTAATGTCACCGGTCTTAACCTTTTTTACCTCTCTAGACTTTCCCTTGATTATTAACTCCTCAATTTGTTGGGCGTACACCATAAGACGTGAGATATTCATATCATGAAGTATAATTGTCGTACGACATTCTTTTTCTACCATGTAGGACAGACCCATCAAAAACCTACTCATCTTAGCCCTCGAATCTGCCACCATAGTTGGAGCATACTTGGACAATTGTGTGAACTTTACGACATACTCCTTCACACTCATACTTCCTTGATGAAGGTTAATCAACTCTTGCACCGTAGCTTCCCTCAACTCTAGGGGAAACAACCTATCAATAATCGACAATTTAAACACTTCCCACTCTAGGGGACCCGCTCCCACCGGTCTTTCTCCCTTCCATTGATCATACCACAATTGAGCAACATCTTTCAATTGGTAAGCGGCTAACTCTGCTTTATCTTCTGGAGTTTCCCCCCATAATATCTAGTACCTTATAGACTTTGTCGATAAACCTTTGAGGATCCTCATCCACTTTGGAGCCATAGAATTTTTGAGGGTTCATCTTTGCGAAATTCCTCACTCTTGAAGTCGCCGAATTCACATTAGGATTCATAAGATCTACAACCTCCCTATTGGCTTGAGTCGCCAATGCTTAAGCCAACATTTGAAAAGCCGACCTAACCTCCGCATTTATCGCATTCCCAACATAAGGTTCTATCAGAGCTTGAGGATGAGCTATTTGTTCCACATTCTCCCTCACATTCATTTTAGTATTAGCTTTTCGAGAAGACGTATCCTGAAGAGCATAAGGTAAGGATTAGAAGAGAAACTTTATAGAGTTAAACTTCATGGCACAACTTAAGATTAATGAAAGAAGTGGAGTTTCCTAATCATCTTGTAGCCTCTCATTCATAAATGTGGTTCACTTCACACTCATGAACAAGACTCTACTAGACGTGGCTTATGAGACATCATCCTAGAATCATTCTAAACCTTATGCTCTGATTACCAAGTTTGTCACGACCCAGGGGTATCCCTTATATGTAACATGGCGTATAGAACCCCGAAGGACTCCATACAATCCACTTATCATATCATAACATAAAGTAGTATAAAAATAATGAGTAAAACAACATTTAAGTCTAAAAACAACTTTTTAGAAAAGCGGAAGTCTAACTTATGTCTCAACATAACCATCTATTACAATCAAAATGATAGTGGGCCAAGCCCATAAATCAAGTTCAAAAGGAAATACGAAAGTGAAACTACAATAAGGAAAGTCCTTCCTCGAACCATGAGTCACCAAGCTCGGAAAGAGATCAAAGTCCAAGATCTAGCCACTAGAATGGAAAGTTTGCCTATCAGACCCTACATTTGGCAAAACGTAGGCAAGAGTATGCATTAGTACAAAAATGCACGAAGTATGATAACTATGCATAAAAACATTTAAAACATGCTAAAAAGGACATTTCATTTCATGATAAGCAACTTACCAAGTTTAAACATCATAGTGGAAATAGTTGGAAAACATAAGTAATAATATCATAGTCAATGCAAACTAAATCATCTTTAAGTCTTTGAACATATATGATATACTTCTTTAAGTAACCTTAGTTCATTAGTCATCTTGTTGTGGGAGAATTAGCCTTAACCGATATATAGACCATGTCAGTAAAAACATGATCATTCGGTGTCTCCCACACCAAAAAGGGTTGTTCTACTTGCCTAAGGTAGTACCATGAATATCTATCTTAAGTGGATCCACCAGCTAATCAACCTATGGGGCACATAGTTAAGGGATAAGGATATTTCTACTAGAAAGCCGACCTCTACTCACGATGAGCTTCCATCTCATGAGACTTTTTCTAGAAACCCGGCCTCTACTCACAGGTGAGTTTCCATCTCAAGGACAATATCCACTCGGTTCTAAGCTTAATTCCCATGGATTAGTATTTTCTTACTTACTATCATTATCCATGGAAAGACATGTAACTTTGCCAATCCAATTAGTTCATTAGGATAGCTCTTATTTATTGATTCAATTATGTGAGAATACACTTTCAACCTAAGAATCCTTTCTATGTGAGAAAATCTTTCACATCATGGTTATAAGTGTTTTATGAGAATATTCTTTCAACAGAACAACAACAAAAACATTGGCATTTTACCCTCAAAGCACCCACTCTTAAAGCCTTTACATATGTTTCATAAGATCATGCATACTCATACATTACCCTTTCAAGGTTCAAAGTTACTTTCAATCAACAAATATATAATTTTAGAATTAGATAGGGATTTTATCATAAATTCATGTAATTCTATTACTTCATGATTTAGATCATAAAACTCATATTTCGTAATCAACAACCCAACTCTATGAGATCATAATTTGGAAATCATGGGGGTTTGCATGGGTTCATAGGGGAAATATCATAAAAACATTGTAAATCATCAATTCATGAATATTTAAACATAATTAAATCATTAAGATCAATAATCAAAAGAGCCCATGATGTTTGAGGAAAACCCTAGCTAATTGGGGAATCCTATCATTTGAAATAAAGGAATTTGGGGACTCTGTGGGTGGAAGGAACCCATAGAAGAAAGCTACCATACCTTAAGTCCAATTACCTATATTCAATGGAGAATTTGGATCCTTAGCTTGAAACCCTAGGTGAAATCTTCTTCTTCTTCAAGTTCTAGAGAGAGAGTATTTGAGAGGAATTGGTTTTCTTTTGGGATTTAGGAAGAATTAATTAAATGGGGTGAGTTTCGGGTTAAAAAGGCTTATATAGGGATTCTAAATATATGTAAAAAGACATAGTATAGGAACTATTTATTTAGAAAAATATCCCATTACCCCTAAGTTAAACTGCTAGCAGCCTCCGACCTACCTATCTACGGACCCCGTCGATGTACCATGGTTGGACCTACGGTCCATCCTTGTGAGCCATGGTTGGTGGTTAGAGAATTTGGCCTTGACCAACGACCATTGGACCACGGGGCATGGACAGACCTACTGTTCGTTGGTCCCTTCCCTGGTCAAGACTTGGACTATTTTTGAGTGCCTAATGATGGACCCAACCGACAGGTTGTGGTCTGACCCATGGACCGTCTTGGTGGGTTGTCGACCTGAGTCAGAAACTTGGGATTTTGGGGTTCCAACCACGAACCACACCTACGGTCCGTGGTCCTCTCCACGGGCCGTGGGTGGCCGGCGTGGTTGGCTGCACTAACACCTGGAAAACTGCTAAATGTCTTTCTTTGGACACAGGGTTACAGTAGTTATGAATGTTGAATACTAGAGCTTTGAGAGAAAAGCTAATATGATGAATTATGAATGTTAAGGCTTTGAGAGTGAAGCTTATATGATAATGTTAGACTAGTAGATAAAATTATTGTGGAAGGACTTTACCATATAATCTACCTTATGAATGTATGAATGCATGAATGTGAAAGGTTTCCTCACATAGTATGACTCTAGGTTAAGAGGTTTGCTCAGCTAAAATGAATCAAAGCATGCTAATTATGATAGCTCAAAATTGTGATATGGTATCCCTTCATGAATAAGCTTGACTTGGTAAGATAACACCATGCCTGTTAGCTTGAGTAGTAGATATCATGGATAGCCTTGGATTGAGAAATCATACCCTTCCTAAGGTTAGATTGAACTAGCATAATAGAATGTTTGCATGATAGCATGACTTGGTAAGGCCAAACCATTTCATTGGTAGCTTGGTTTGAGCAATAGTACCCTTCCTTGAGTAGCTTGGACTTGCATGAGAATCTGCTTTCCATGATAGCTTGGTCTAGCATGATGAGGTGTTTTTCCTTGATAGCCTTGAATTGGTAAATCGTAATCATTCATGAGTAATCTTTGTATTGGACTAGTAAAGAAGTATTTTTCCATGAATAGTAGATATAGCTAAAGAGGGACAAGTCCCTACTCAAAGTATCATGATTATGATGAATCAAGGTTACTTCAAGGAAGTATCGTAAGTATGTTTTTATATGATGTATGCTTTGCTTGGGTTGTTGCTAGAGTTGCCTTCCTTGATATGTTTGACTAAAGCTGAATGTTCCCTTGTCTATGAGAAATAAGCTAAGGAGGAGATCAAAAGATGATAAACATGAATGGTGGCCTAAAGTGGATTACTTAGCATGGGTGAGATTTATCGGGTCTTATTCGGGCCTTGCACAAGTATACTTTGAGGTCACTTATGAAGTGTTTCTCTTATATTATGATGATCTAGATGCCTTGATTATGCCTATGTCTATGTTGTTATGTCTTATGCTTATAGATTATGTCTTATGTTGCCTAATGCGTTATTCTCTTGATGATGTTATACTAGCTATCATATTTGTTACATTTTGTACTAATGCATACTCTTGCCTACATTTTTATCAAATGTAGGGTTCGGCGATATTGCACTCACCGTGGCTAGGATCATAGTAGAGCAATGATTGAAGCTTTGGTGAGTCCTCATAGTATCCAAGGAGATAGTCACCATGTTCTTATGTTTTCTTTCATTTTATCTTTAGAACTATTGTATGGGCTGCGTCCCAAAGACATTTATGGTTTTAGATGGTTTGAGACAAGTGGCATCACTTCCACTCATTTTATAAAAGACTTTGATTGTATGGAAAATGTTTTAAATTTTCGCACTTATTTCTATTATCTTATGTTATGAAAGCTAAGTGGCTTGTATGAGGTGCTTCAGGGTCTTGTACGCTATGTTAAGTCTGTGGGGTACCCCTAGGTCGTAACATAGGGCAACTCAATGAGAGGTAGGTGATCATCCCAACTACCCTTGAAATCGATCATGCAAGCTCTCAACATATCCTCTAAGGTCTGAATTGTACGCTTTGCCTGACCATCCGTTTGTGGATGAAATGTTGTGCTATGATTTACATGGCTACAAGACCTTTCTGAAACAATTTCCAAAAATGAGAGGTATACTAAGGACCTCTATATGAGATGATAGACAACGGAGCCCCATGTAACCTGACTATCCCATGGATGTAGAGTTTGGTGTAGTCCTCTGCTGAATCTGTAGTCTTGACAGCCAAAAAGTGAGCGGACTTAGTAACTCTGTCCACTATTACCCAAATGGAGTCATGTTGTCTGCGAGTACGAGGTAAACCCGTAATGAAGTCCATGTTTATCACTTCTCACTTCCATGTAGGAATGTTAATCTTCTGAGTCA